GGGACGAGTTTTCTATGGTTTGACTCTTTCTATAGTTTGTCGCCCAAAATCCGCCTGAAGGGGGACATGCCCGACAGAAGCTTTCTCGAACTGGACCTCCCCCTCCCGCTTCGGCGATTGTGGGGGGCGTGGGCCATGCTAGCGGACCGTCTGTTCCTTCTGCCGTTGTGGAACCCCTTGAGGGAACAATTGGAAGAGGACGAGGCAGGGACGAGGAGAGGAGGAGGAGGAGGACGAGGAGGAGGAGAAGGAGGAGGAGGAGAGGGAGGACGAGGAGGGAGGAGAAGAAGCAAGAGTAGGGAAGAGGGATGAGAAGGAGACGGAGAAAAAGAGGGAGGAGAAGGAGGACGAGGAGGTGAGAGGAAGAGAAAGGAGGAGGAAAGGGACGGAAAGGAGGACGAGGAGGAGGACGAGGAGGAGGAGGAGGAAGAAAAGGCGTCTCGAGGCCCTCTTGGGGCGTCGGACCTCAGGGGCCGCGGGCCCTCCGCCCGCGCGCGGACAACCCATGGCATCCCGCGGAATGGGCCCCCCGGGGGCCTCCTGCGCGCACGGCCGAACGGCCTCGGGGCCGTGGCAGGCCCGCTGTGAGTCATCGCAGGCAGAGTGCAACGCAGAAGGTACACTGTAGCGGCCGACTGCGGTCTCGGAACGATTCTCGCCGTGACGCTGGTCTCGTCCGTAGTGCTGCACGTGGGCTCCACCCGCTATGTCACCAGGGGTGCCCCATGGGGTTGGCAGAGTCCCAGAGAGCCACCGAAGACACGCCAGGGACCCAGGCCTAGCGCTCACGACGAAATCATCATCCTCATCCTCATCCTCATCATCATCATCATCATCATCATCATCATCATCATCATCATCATCATCAACATCATCATCATCATCATCAGCATCTGCATCTGCATCATCATCATCATCATCATCATCATCATCGCCATCATCATCAGCAGCAGCATCATTGCATCATCATCGTCACCTGGTCCCAGGGGGAAGGAGTTCTCGAGTAGGAAATCGATGACAGAATTGAGGTACCCAACAAATGTTTGCTCCGTCGGATCGGCGAGCCCGATACGGAGAAGGTTCGTTGCTCTACAAGCAGTCGGCGCACTCTTCGTAGATCCGACGAGCGTTTTTCAATGTTGTGGTAAATCAGTTCTGCAATCGATCCCCTGTTCAGATCTTGGACGTGGGTCAGAATCCAGCGCTGACTCCCATGCACAACTTCGCACAGCGACGAGCGAGGACCGAGCGAGCGACGCGAGGGCCGGGGAAAAACGCCACGGCGGAGGAACGGCGACCGAAAGAGAGGGACGGAGGCCTACCAGGGCCGACCGTCTCGGGTGCCTCCCGAGAGCCTGCTGGGCGTCTTGGGGCCATCTCTGGGGAGGGAGGAGGGGCGGGTTCTCGCCTGTGCCCCCCGGGTGTGCTCGCAGCCCCCCTTCTGGGGTCCCCTCCTGGGGCCCTCTTCGGAGGCATCCTGGGCAGCGGCCTGCGGCGGGAGCTCGGCCGAGGAGGCTGGAGTCACTCGCTCACCGCAGGCCGCTGCCCAGGAGGACTCCGAAGAACCCACGAGGGGGGCCGAGAGCACACCCAGGGGGCACAGGCGAGAACCCGCCCCTCCTCCCTCCCCAGAGATGGCCCCAAGACGCCCAGCAGGCTCTCGGGAGGCACTCCAGACCCAAGCATCCAGCGCTTCGACTTGTCCTAGGCACGAACCTCTGACCTCTCGACCACTTCCCCCAAGGACTGGGACTGGATTTTGGTCCCAGGTCGACTGCTCATGGCCCCGAGGACCGGCAAGGGCCACGAGAGGCCGGGAACTGTGAAAAACCTGCGTCTCGATTTTGTCGTGACGCCGACGTCTGAGTTTCCCAGGGGTCCCCAGAGGTGCCCCAAAAAGAGACCCCCGAGAAAACTTGGAGACACCCGGGTGGCCCTCAACAGGTCCCGAAGAGGCACACGCTCTGGGAGGCTGCAGGACCTCATCAACCACGCTCCAGGGGCGCTCTGTCCACGCAGAAGGAAGAGGAAGTCCTGGTTGTGGATGCCGGCGAAGTGCCTTCGTGAGTCTCCAAGACGGCCCAAGGAGCTCCCGACGACGGCCCTCAGAGGGCCCCACGGGTGACTCCAAAAGGTCCCAGACGCAACAATAAAACTCCCACTAGGAGGCCCCAACGGCAACGACGGAAACATTCCGTCTCGGAGGCTTTCTCGTACCTTCAGGCTGCCATACTGTTCGGCTCAGGATGGTTCCACGAGCGCATCGAAAAACCCAAACAACGCCCAGATGAGTCCCAAGACGGCCCAGGACGGCATCACGCGGGCCCTAAGACGGCCGAAAAGGACCCTGGATGGGTCCACGATGGCCCCAGGGCGCCCCAAGACGGCCCGAGAGGCCCCCAAGATGGCCCCAAGAGGGCCCATAGCCCCAGAGAGCCTCAAGGCGGCCCAAGTGAGAGGTCGCCAAGAGGGGCAAAAAAGCCCCAAGACAATCCCACATGGCGCCACCAAAACGGCCCCCAGAGACCCCCGAGACGCCAAGACAGCCCTAACACGGCCCAACAGCGCCCAAGAGTGTCGTAAAGGAGCCGAAGAGGTTCCAGAGACATGCGTGTGACTTCTATCCAAAACCAAACCCCAAGACCCAAAGAGAGACCAGAAAGGGCCTCAAGATGCTGAGCACAATCACGCGATGTCCGTCCAGGGGCACTGAACATCGGATCCGCTTCCCCGTAGCGGGGGCTACGACCGCACCCATTGGATACAGGCTCGACTTCGATGGCGGCAGTATTCCTCTAAAGTGGCTGGCTGGGTAGACGTCACCACGTTCAGGGATGAGGAGGACGAGGAGGAGGAGGAGGAGGAGGAGGAGGAGGAGGAGGAGGCGAACGACGGGAGCAAGGGGAAAAATATAAACACGCAAAATAACGCAACGCGTCCGCCCTCGGAATTTGACCCAGTCGTGGCACATGCAAACGAAGGCCTACTCAGCCGCAAGACAAACGTCGAAATAATTAGCGCATCCACACCTGGAGCCAAAAGTGCCATACCATAGTACCCCGGCAGAGAAACAGAGGAGGAGGGAGGAGGAACAGGAAGACAGAAGGAGCGGCAAGAGAAGCTAGTGAACTCTCGACACATTCCCAGCCTAGGAGGATCTAAATTCGGGCACGCCGAACTGTAAGTTGCGTGCAGGAAAATCCCAGTGGAATGAAACAGGCAAGGCAATGACTTGCACCCTACTGCAGCTGATACGGAATACTAGACGAAGCTGTCCACTCGACCATGCTGTGTGGAGGTGGTAAGCCAAACAAGGCAGCCCGAGCGAGAAGCGGTTATTTGGAGGGAGCTGCCGACAAGACTGGGCGGCACGTCAGTGGCCCACCCCCGCACGCAAATGGCACATGCGCCCTTTTACAGCACGGGGTCGGCCACCATAGCGCACACCGTGCCACGACCCCGGGGAAGGAGGAGACTATAAGGGAAGGAGACGGATGACGGAAGAAGGGAGCGGGAGGGGGCGACTGCGCGCTCTAGTCGGGCGTTCGAGGCGTCCGCAGCCGCCGATGGACCTGCCAGCTACGACCAACAGATCGGCACCACGATTCGGAGGGAGAAGGGGGGAGAGGAGGCGGAGGACGGAGACAGGGAAGGGAAGAGGGAGACTGCACGCTCGAGTCGAACAGCTGGGGCCACCACAGCCGCAGATGGACCTGCTGGCGCCGACCAGCAGATCGGCATCACGATTCGGAGGGAGAGGGAAGGCGAGGAGGAGGGAGGAGGAGGGGCAAAGAAGAAGTGAAGACTGAACTCAGATGCGAACGCAACTCTGGATGCCTTCGGGCACGCGACAGCTGTGCAGCCGCAAACACTGGCAAGCAGCCTACCACGCAGCCACCGTGCCTGTCACGGACGCCGCCACCGCGAGAAGCCACAAGCCCAAGGAGGAACAAGAGATCGTCCCCCCGCCGACGACGACGGCAACAAGGCGACCACGAAGACGACGCCGACGGGGCACGCGACAGCCACGATGGCGACGTCAAGACCAACCAACGACGACGACAACAACGACGACGACGACGACGACAACGACGACGACAACGACGACGACGACGACGACGACAACGACGGCGGCGGAAGAGAGGAGGGAGGAGGCGAAAGCTGGAGAGGAGGGAGGGCGGACAGGGAACAGGAGATGCGGCAGGGAGAGGGGGGGCAGGGAAGAGCGGCCACCTGCCCCCAGCAGGGGATGGGGCCCCCTGGGAGAAGTGTCCAGCTTGCGCCACGCAGCTGCCAGCTGCATGGACCTACGGCGCCGGCCGCAGCGGCCACCACGGCCAAGCAAAGGCCGACAAATCCGGCCCCACCCTACGAACGACGGCGCCGGCAGCTGCCCCAGTCGCGACGCCGATGCGCTGGCCACAGATGCCAGCACGTGGACAAGGGAGCGCCCTAGCTGGGCTGGCATCCCCCGATGACGTGCCTTAGGAATGGACGAAGCCTACAGTCGGCTATTGAAACCCAGAGAAATGTGCTCAAAACGCTCTGGCGGCACAGCGCCGGAAATTCTAGAACCAGCCCGTGCCGCAGCATTCATTTAGCTTGCTACATGTGTCCCGGACTGTGAACGCGTGGGGGCTCTCGCACAGCCTCACGAGAGCTCCCGCACCTTCTGCCGCAGGGCGTTCGGGCACACCTCCGGGGTGTAGGCCCCGGCGTGTCGCTTCATCGCTGCGCGCAAGGCGTGCGCGGCGCTGTAGCTCCTCCGCAGCATCCGCGCTCCAAGCTGGTTCCAATAGCCAGAACCTCGCGAGCCTGGAATGTTTGGTGGTGGGGCGGACCAACCCGAAGTGAGTCGTGGCGGCGGCCGCGACCCAGCGGCACTCCGAGTAATGCCCGCTGGAGTCCTCGCCCGACGCGCATCCGAAGACGCATGTTGCGTGGCCCTGGAAGCGGCGCGCGGAGATCCGCCCTTTCCAAAGGGAACGCAGGCCCGCCACGAGCACGCGGGGCGGCACCGTGCAGGACACGGCTGGGTACGCGGCCAGCGCCCTGTCGGCCATCTCCCACATAGCCCGCTGCATCGCTGCTTGAACCTACAACGCAAGAAGTTCCGCAGACCCTCGACGGCGCTCGGGGCGATCAGTCGGGCGCAAGTGTGCTGCCAAAGCGTTCTGTGCGCGGCGATGTCGGCGGCCCCGGTGGCCACCGCAATCTGGCGCGGCTGGAGATTCCGCAGTACGAAATGCATCTGGGCCGACTCCAACTGAAGCACGAAAGCCTGCCCGAACCAGGGGGCCCACAAACCCAACCGATCGACTGGTGGGTACGGAAACAGCCTCGCGCGCCGGAGCCTTACGGCCTGGGCCTCCACGCGCAGGCCACCTCTGGCTGCCGCTTCCCACTGGCAGATGCAAGCCTTCGCTACCAGAGCCACCGAAGGTACTCTGGATGGAAAAGTAACCCCCCATGAATCCGCTGGGGGGGGTGGGCACGTGCTGTCGGAACGGGCGGAGGAAGGGTTGTGGAGGGAGGGTTGGAGGAAGACGAAGAGGAGGAGAAAGAGGCGGAGGAGGAGGAGGAGGAGGAGGAAGGAGCAGGGGGAGGGGGAGGAGGATGGAGAGGGGCGGGACTGGGCAAGCTCAGTCGGGAGAATAATCGACCCCCCCCCTTGATAAACACCCCATCCAGTGTAAGTCTCGGAAGCCCGGCGGGAATCCCATGACGGTCAGGCCGCCGAGCGCCGAAGGCGGGGCCCAGCTGCTCGGGCCTCGATTGCACCGACGGCAGCGCCCAGCAGCCTCCACGCGCAGGCCACGAGGCCAGCGCCGCGCCCAGCCGCGCCAGGAACGCCTGCGTGGAAGAGGCAGAATGCAGAGTACGCCACGCCCTGGGCGAGGCCCCAGTCACGAGCGCGGTGGAAATACGATGGAGGAAAATCCAAGAGAAACCCTCCACAGGAAACCCAACCCTGACACCCTGGGACGTCGATGGATTTTTGGCGTGGGAACGCCGTGCCTCCCATAGTAAAACCATCGAAGACCAAGAAGGGTGTTTCTTGGCATGGGCTTCCACTGTACGTCTCGAAAGCCAAACCCATGACGGTCAGGCCGTCGAGCGCCGACGGCGGGGCCCAGCTGCTCGGGCCTCGATTGCAGCGACGGCAGCGCTCAGCAGCCTCCACGCGCAGGCCACGAGGCCAGCACCGCGCCCAGCTGCGCGCGGAACGCCTGCGTGGAAGAGGCAGAATACAGAGCACGCCACGCTCTGGGCGAACACGCCGCCGCGACAAGACCCCGGTCACGGGCGCGTTGGCGATACTTGCTGGCGGCGGCATCCCAGCCGCTATCTCCTCGGGAGGGGCAAGGAACAATCCGAAGTACTCTGCGCTGCGCGAGAAACGCGAGCCATCTCACATGGGGGCCCCGACCGTGACCGAGGCCCTCGGCGCCTCAGGATCCCTAAAAAAGCGGCACCCGTACTGGTCTGCCTAAATTCTGGCGTAGCCCTAACCGAGAAGGCCGCGCAGGCGTCGAAGAGCGGTTCCCGCACGGCCGCGGCGGCTGCCCCATCGCGCATCGCCACTGCGAGGTCGTCCGCGTACGCTCGGCGGACCGCCGCGGAGAGGGCCCCGCCGAGTCGCCGAAGCAGCAAGTCTGCAGCCACTGCGAAAAGAAGCGACGATAATTGGAAAGGTTGCCAGTTCTGTTGAGCTTGAAGTTGATACATCTTACATTGCTGATACTGATCATGTCGCCGCTGTTGGCACCACCTGTTGCCACTGGTCCTGTGTGAACTGACGTACCCGAAGCTGTTGAAGCGCTGGCTGACCATTGCCAGGCTGCGTCCGCAAACTGCCCATGGCAACACGAGCGAATATGCCTATTACTCCTACCAGTCCGTAAGCTTCAATGCTGTGATGGAGTAGATGCGAATGCTGCCAGTGTTTACACTCGCGCTCTGGAGTCGAAGTTCATTGATAGAAGGATAGCAAATACCGCCCTTCCACGTTCGCCCACTCTCACGTTGGGCGGGTAACGCACGATCCCCGAACACGTGTGAACGTGGTTGGAATGACGCGCCAGAACGAAGTCCACCTGGGCGTCATACCTTTGAGAGAAAGGGAGCGAAGTGGAGGAAGCGGACAAGATAAGACAGCGCCCTGAGATGACGACAGGTCACCTGAACCACCCGAGAGGATCGGCACAGGCCCGGGCGCCTCCGACGGAAAACAAGCCTGCTCCTTGACCCGCGAGTGGAGAGCAGGGGAGGAGAACACGAGAGGACGAGGAGGAGGCAGAGAGAGGAGCGGGAGGAGACGAAACGAGTTCGAAAAGGGGGGGGACAGGGAGGTGGGAGGCACGAGGAGGAAGACACCGACCCAGCGTGCCCCTTTGTCGATGATCCTCCGAACGTGCTAGCGCCCAACGTTCGGGAGTTGCTCGAGGTACCCCTGGCCCAAGGTGCCCCCAGCTTTTCGCTCCATTCTGGAGCCCCTGGGGCCCCCTGGGCTTCGTGAGGGGTACTCTGGAGGCTCTGGGGGCCTCCTTAAAAAACCTGAGTGCACCTCGGGCCAGAGGCACTTCTAGCAACACACGAAACGTGCAGTTATTTGCCCACCGGAGCTCTTCGAGACGACGCAGCTGACGTAATGAGGGCCGAACGGGGTGAACACACTTTTTGGCGTCGCGGGTCCCGGAGGGGGAGGAGGAGGACGAGGAGGACGAGGAGGACGAGGGGGAGGAGGAGGAGCAGGACGATGAGGATGAGCAGGGTGATGAGGAGAAGGAGCAGGAAGAGGAGAAGGAGGAGGATGAGGAGGAGGACGAGGAGGAGGAGGAGGAGGAAGAGGAACTGGAGGAAGAGGAGGAGGAGGCGCGCAGCGACAGGGCGTAGCGAGGGGTGAAACACACACACACACACACACACAAACACTCGGCTAGCACATGTTCTGAAGATCATCGAGTTTGGTGTTGAAGGCGGCCAGGGAGTTCTGAGCTGAATGGGCACCGAGAAAGTCCGTCAAGACGGGAGGATGCTTACAAATCCGCTCAAAATCGGTCCCTCGACCCCTCCCCGGGTCCATCCGGTGTAATTGTTCCCCCCGACCAGTTTGCGACGGTCCAGGAGAGCCCGAAAACGGCCCCCGTCGACCGAAAAAGATTCAAAAACCTTCTCAAACCCAGAGCTTCCCCCCAAGGAGGAAGAGGAGGAGGAGGAGAAGGAGGAGGAGAAGGAGGAGGAGGAAGAAGAAGACGAGGACGAGGAGGAGGAGAAGAAGGGAAACGAGGGGGCGGAGCAGGAGCAGCAGGAAGCGGAGAGGCAAACCCACTCCTACCTTCTGGCTGGAACCAAGTGCTGGGCCACCTCAGACCCCAGCCGACTCCAATTCTGAAGATCATCGATTTTGGCGGGCGCCTGGTTCTTGGCGAACTGGTGGTCGTCGCACTTGGGGCACAGCCAGTCGCCAGGCAGCACGTGGCCGACGCCGCCTAACTTGGAGCCTGGCGCGCAGCAGCGCGGGGTGCCCCTGTCATCGCTCCCCTCCGTTTTCCGCTGGACAAAATGCCCGATTCTTTGTGATTCGCGATAACGCCCGTGACCGGCCCCGCCCCCCCCCCGCCCCCACGGTCACGTCACGATTCGCGCTGGGGTCGTGTGGGAATGGACCATTCCGAAGACTCCAGAACGGTCTCGTCTCCATCAAGGGGGGCAGTGGCTGGAAGTGTGTTCGAAAATCTGCTCAAGTGTGACCGAAGCTGGTGCACGAAAGTTGCCGAGCGCGCCACGGCGTGACCAAAATTCGTGGTTCGCAACCAAAACAATGTTCGGTTTCGGTCGCTGTCGCGCTACGTTCGGCCACATACCTTTTCGGCTCATACGGCCTGGGCGCCATTACAAACTTCGATCAACTGGGATCGTCGCGTCAGGATGGCAATGTGAATCGGAAAAAAACAACCGACTCAGGCGATGTGGCCTCACTACGGCTGCAGACCAGTGTCGGGAAAAAGAGGGGCGCAGAACGTTCTCGCTCGTCTTCGTCCTCCTTGTCCTCCTCCTCCTCCTCCTCCTCGAGCTCCTCCCTCCTCCTCCCCATGCTCTCTGTCCTCGCCATCCTCGGACTCCAGGGCATGTTCCTCCTGCTGCTCCTGCTCACCATCATACTCTCCTTCGAGCCCATCAGATCTCCCTCCCCCCCTCCTCCTCCTCCTCCTCGCCGTCATCGCCATCCACTCCCCGAACTCTCCTCCAGAGCGAGGGGAGGAGGAGGACGACGACGGTGACGCGAAAGGGAGGAGGACGACGACAGTGACGAGCGTGACCACGGCCAATAAAGCAGGGCTCAAACGGTCTGCCCACCCCAGGGGCGCAGGCGAGAGGCCCCTGCCTGGAGCGGCCGCACAAACAACGAGAACGCCACGAAATACGGTCCTGGCATCTGCCCCCCCCCCCAAAAAAAAGCACGGTGGGCGTCACGGAGTCGGTGCGAAGCCCAGTCAGCATAGTACATCATGGCATATCATCGCATACCATAGCGCAACATACCGGCGCACAGCATGGCACCGCACAGCACACACGCAACACGCAGCAGCGCATGGCTGCGCAGGGCAGCACAGCACCTCGTGGCAAAGCATGGCACCCTGGGCGCCCAGGGCGCCCCTCGGGGGCCCGACCCTGGGGGGCCAGACAACCCCCCGCGGCCATCAAAGCCGGGCGCCCTGGACGACCCCAGGCGGGGCCCACACGCATCACTCGGCACCCTGCACCGAGCACGAAGGGGGCCCTTGGGCACAGCCTAACTGGGCAATTGCGCGTTCCATATGGGTGCACCCTGACCCTAGATGGCTGAACGCGTATCTTCGGTCCCATGCGATCTCATCCTCAACCTCGAACATGCGCGCTGCTATCTGAATGGCCATAACAATCATGGTGAAAAACTACCCTTACTTTGCACAGCGCCGTGGCTCCCGTGAAAGCAGCGACGCGATTAATCACTACTGGAAAGAGCCCAAGGGCGAGAGGAGGGACGGATAACATGGGAAAGTGGCAGGAGGCGTGGGACTCGGGAAGGGGGACGCGAGGGGCAACGAGGGGGAGCTGTCACCAGGAGAAGGGATGGAGGAGAGGGTCGCGGATAATAAGGAGGATGAGCGGGAGAGAAGGGAGGAGGAGGAGGAGGAGGAGGAGGAAAGAGGAGGACGAGGACGGACAGCAGCAGCAAGCAACTGGCAAGGGCGGGAGCGGGGGCAAACACGAAGCACATGAGGCAACGACCGGCGG